TATATATATATAACAGAAAATGAGAATCATGATGAAACTGTTAATGTCTAACCAGAATCACAATTGGATGTAGAATTCAATTTCCCACACATGCACAATTGCCTAATGCCATCAGTTCCATACCCGCAGGTGCCACCAGTAGCCTCACAAGCCCTACAAAATTCATCATTTTCTTGAACAGAATATTTCACTCGGATCCCATAAGACCACCCATTAGCCCCATCAAGCCTCAATGGGGCAAGACTATAGGCACTGCTGTACCCTTCACACTGAAGCCTGGTAAGATTAATGGCCTTGATGGCCTCAAATGGCACTGCACAGCACTCAGGTGGCCCTGACCCAAACATGGAGCCCACCTTCCTATGGCCGCCCAGCAAATCCCAAGCTGGGCAACCGTAGTATTCTTCACAGCTCATGCCTGAAACGTTTCTACATGGCAAGTGCTTCCCCGGAAAGCCTTGGAAGAGTGGTGATTGAGCTGAGCAGCCTATCAACATGAATACGTTGTCAGCCGTCGGATTCATGTACGGGGCCCGCCATTGCTCGACGGAGAAGCCGTTACCCTTTGCTCCTAGCACTATGTTGTCACAAGTTGACATGTGAGGGTCATGTAGAGTGAGGGCTTGATAAGCATAGTCTATGTCTAGGACCCTGTAAGATCCTGAGCTTATGTGAAACATAAGCACATCGTTTATGCAGTATAGGAGTTCTCGAAAACCCGGGTGGCCGCAGCCTGAATGGAGGGCAAATGGGTAATCTATGGTGAGGTTTCCACAATAGGATCTGCATGTAGCATTGCCTGAATTTGATGGAATTAATGCTGAAAATAGAAGGTAGAGGAAGCTGAGAATGAGCATAGTTGTACTAGCACTCATGGGTTTATCTGAGAAAAAGAGAGAGAATTTGAGAAGTGGTTTGTGAATTGGTACAAACTGCAATGATACTTTGCTTGGAGGGTTGAGTTAATGTCTGATGTTGTGGCCTTGTGGGCATGATTTGGGGGACTTTGTTCTCAATCACATGTAGTGTTGAGAATCTTGGTGAATTGTCTATGGGTTTTGTTTCTCTTTTTGGTTGGAGAAATTATTTGTTTTTAAAACTTTAGTGTAGCTTTTGCAAATTGGAATTCCTGCTGCAAGCTTTAGCTTGCTTTTGGGTATTGCAAGGCAATAAAAATTGAATGAAATGATTCTCATTGGGTTGCTTTATGATTTTAGCTGTCATTTCTTGGCTTCTCTATGTTTGCAAAATTGTGGATAAAGTTAAAATTCCCTATAATTCATGATTCATCATTGTTAGGAGGTAAAGATGAATGGCGTGTTTACTAATTAGGAATTAAATTTCACCTATGAAAGATTCATGCGTTTACTTCACATCAAGGAATTGAAAAGTAAGTGGGACCCATATAAAATTAGGAATTGAATTCCTGATTTTGGAGGAATTCAATTCTTAGGTAGGAGGTGAGTATTTTAATTCCGGGAGAACTAACCCATTATGAATTCATCTTTTTTATCCATTATATCCTCACACAATTTAAATTTAAAAAAAAAATTCATCTATTTTAACCTAACAACGAGGATATTTTAGTAATTAGAACTACTTCTATCATAATTCCATATGATTTAGTAAACAATTTCAATCTGAATCCGGAATCTAACTCCCCTCAATCCATATGGTTTAGTAAACAACTTTAATAGGAATCTGGAATCTCAACTCCTCCTTAATTCAATTCCTCCTAATCCAATTACGGACGGATTAGCAAACATGTCATTAATGTAGATTGAATTATAAGATTAACCAAGGCCTAGCTAGATACATAAAGATTGCAAGTTTTAAACGACATGTCGTTTGTATGATCCTCATTTTGACTCTGAAGTTTCCACGTGCCACCTCACTGAGAAGTGAGAACTGGCGATGGCGGTTATTACCACCGTTCTCATGCCGCTTACCCTCTGTTTGGTTGCCCAGAAAATAAAACAGTAATTCTAACTGCCTTCAGCTGTTCTCGCTTCCACGGCAAGAAGAGATAAAGAACACTAATTTTATTGTCCACCAAACACACTGTTATTGTCAGTGTGAAGAGCAGCATACTATTTGATCATGGAAGCTCTGGAGAAATCAGAAGAAACCGTCTCAAACGTAATTGATTATCTTCTCTGCTCACTTTACTTACTAATATAGTTATAAAAATGTGAATTTTTTGCTGTTCTTATACGATATTTCTCTAAAACCGAGCAATATGTAATTAATTAGGCCATCCAAATAATTGTTTTTGTTCATTTCTAGGTCAAGTTTTGGATTTCAGAGACACTTGTTTAATTGGTCCTCAAAAGTTGTTAAATTGCAGATTTTGGAATTTGGGTTTTGTCTGTTATGTGTTTCTGAAACTTGAGTGGTACATTAAATTCGAATTGCCCATCATGTGTTTGCTAAAATTCCCGTTAGCCTAACTATGATGTTGTTTTCTTTGAATCAGCATTCTCAAAAACTAGCAGGAACTGTCAACTGGGGCACAGCAACTGTGATCGGAGTGTTTGCAGGCCTGTTTTATGGTGGTAGCAAGGAGGCATCTGCTTCAGTTGTAAGTTTGTATTGTATCAAAATAACAATGCTCCAAGTGCTTGTTTTGATGCTTTGCAGTGATTCATAACAATGTTTGAACGATTGAGGTGTTTGATTTTGATCTCAATCTCTGAAAATGTTAGATAACATTACTTGTAAAGTGGCTTTGTTGATATTGACTACTTATTCATCTGATTGATTTCTCTTTTTAACATCATGTTTCAACTGTATTTTGTTGAAAATAGAGCAAGGATGCAGAAGTAATGTTGAAGCTTGGGAGCACACCAGACAAGCGTGAACAATATCGTATGATGAGAGATGCAATGGAGAAAAGGTTCATACGAGTCACTCGGGGCTCGATAGTTGGTGGAGTGCGTCTTGGATTGTTTACTGCTACATTTTGTGGTATGCAAAATCTGCTTGCTGAGAAAAGGGGTGTGCATGATGTTTTCAATGTTGTTGGAGCCGGTTCAGCCACTGCTGCTACATTTGGTCTAATAAGTAAGAGTCATATCTAATCTTCTGAGCTTCTTTGTTAAATGGTTGTCGTGGTTGGCATGCATCAAAGCATCGACTTCTCGTTTGATGCTTAAAGCCTTTTAAGAATATGATGTCTAACATTTGGTTTCTTCTTCAATCAGTGCCAGGATCATTGCCATGGCGAGCAAGAAATGTGATGCTTGGTGCCGTCCTAGGAGCAGCATTGGGTTTTCCACTCGGTAATACATTCAACCCTGTAATCTTCCCAAAGTGTACATTTATCGATTGTATGCCGCTAACATGGGTTGATGCATTTTGTGGCAGGGTGGGCGCATTTGAAGCTGGTAGAGAAAGCAAATGAAGGGAACCTGTCTGCACATCCTGATTCAGATCAAAGAGAAGCAAGGAGTGGAGTTGGTGCAGCAATTGAGAGGCTTGAAGAAAATTTGAGTAAGTAGAACAGAAAATTGAGCAAGGCTTGAAGATCTCCGCATTGTCCGGTGAGAGGAGAGAAGGATGAAAATCTCAGAGAAAGAGCATAGGCCTTATTTCGTTTATTGAGGAATAAAAACACTAGTAATAATTTCACAATATTTTGAAGGATTTGTCAATAAATTTTCCAATCTATGAAGCAGAATAACAAATTTTCTTTTTTTAATCATTAAGTCCCTCATATGGACCTATGGTGACATACCCCAAAAAAGAGAGTCGGGATAGATTTTCAGAGTGAAAAATTAATCTTAAAACGATAAATCAATTCTATTGTCCACCATCGAGTCCTTTTCTGTCGTTTATTTTCCTAGAATTCTTGGACACGGATTAACTTCTTGGATTGATTGCGGTAAATAATAACTCCTTGATTTATACGATCTAATATGACCATACTGTATACTACAAATTTTTATCTTCGAATTTTGAGTAACAGTAAATAAAAATTTCAAAAAACAAACAAATTAGGGTACATAAGAATTTCCTTTCAAGTGTTTTGTTCATAATTTTCATATGCCTTGTACAGGGTTTTTTCTTCACTCTTCCATCAAAACTCAGAATGGTGAGAAGAAGAAACTGAGCAATTGAGATCTTCAACATGAACTCTCCCACCTTAGCCGCCTAACACCATGCTCTTCTTCTTTTCCTCTTCTCTAATCAGTCAACCAGTTGCAACCACGGCTTAAGTTAAACTTATGCACCATCTCATTATCCTTCCTTCCCTGCAATACAAAGAACTGTTAGAGCTGAGGAAGCAAAACACTATATCCATTACAAAAGCCATTTACCATCGACCGTTGATAGCACCTTGCTGTGTCATGGCTTCTTAGCCATCCTTTTAGCTGTCTCGTGGCTTCTTCGTCGTCCTTTTTGCTTCCCTAGCTGTAATGTGTCCATAGTTAAAGTTATGCAGATATTGGTAACAAAATGGGATGGACCAGAAGATTTATGAGTACAATCCTAGTTGGTAGCCAATCCTAGACATTCTTTCTTGAACAAGTCAACAACCAGATGTTTATTCAATTTGTGTGGAACAGAAGCAATCATCTGACCGAAAAGGGTCAAATGGATGAACATTTTGTCCCATTAGAGGATAATCTAACTTGTGTTGTCCAAGCTTACCTTTATATTTCCTTTTCTTGTTAGCTCTCCTCCTCTTTCTCTCTGCCTGTGAAAGTTCTGCTTCTTCTTTAATGTCACCTTTGCCTGAAAACACTTCCTCGGGAGCTAGCATTGCTGCATCTGACACAGCCACAGGTGCAATCTGCCAAAGGAGAGATATTATGATTGTCAATTTTCCAAAGACATTTGTGATAGAAAAAAATATAAAAAGAAATGGAAATGTAGAGTTCACATTACCTCTTCCATCGCTAGAGCGGGGATATTAGCTTGTACAGTCATATCCTCGATAACCTATCCCAGATAGCATATAGCAAGTACATGAATGCCCACAAATTAGAAAAGTATACGCTGCATATAAATAAATAAATTTTATGATTGAGAAGCATACAGGTTTTGGAGTAAAGTGGAAATGAGAAAGAGCGTCCAACTTCAAGCAAAGTTTCTTGAACAGCTTGCTTGCCTGGTCAAAGATAACGACCACAAGAATAATAATTAGCACCTTTAGATACAGATAAGGACGTTAAATTTTGATTAGTAACATAGAAGAACAACAAACAAAATATGCACCTCTTCCTTCTGTTTGTCTGTGAATGACAACGGACCAGAAGCCACATTTGTCTTTTGAACGTACTCTTCCTGCAGAAATTGATAAAAATAGCTTCTCAGCACATTTTACTCAAAATTGAAAAATAATTTGTTAAGTATCACATTTAGATGCTAAGACAGAAATCCAGCCTAAGGAGATCAAACTTTGGAAGGTTGGGCAGCAAATCAGGTGATTGCATTTTGCATCAGGAGAACCGTACCTCATAGACTTCAGCTAGACCCTTCTTGCTCTTATTCTCGTCCTATATATTAAACAAAAGGATTAGACAAATTGAACAAGTTACTTCATTTTACAAACAATAAATCAAAATTCTATCAAAAAGTAATGCTTACCAACTCTTTAATTTCTCTTGGTGCTTTAGAGGGTAAAGTCGGAGCCTTTTGAACATCATCAAAACGCCCCTATAAAACACAACAACTGCAGTTTCAGAACTGGTTGTAATCCACAAACAAACACAACGAGGGCGAGAAAGAGAGAGTAGAAGAAACAAGCAACAATATCAAATAATGACAGAATGAGTAAGCTTAGAAAAAAATGAGAATTGAAAAAAAAAATTCTTTCTAATCTATAGTGATCAATATAAAGTGCCAAAAAGCCTCCAGTAGAGGTGATTGATGAAAATATGGTTCATTAGAAATAGCTGAACTTTGAACTTAACATTTTAGATAAGAAAATATGACATGAAAATAAATTCCGGGAGCGTATCTATTAAAAATGTTGTTTACCTGCTCGATTCTTTTCTGGATGATATCCTCAATCGATGCTGTAACCTCCTCTGTGATTACAGGGGGAGGTCTAACATTGTGTTCAAAATCCAGATCAACTTCTAGCGCACTGTTCTTTGGCCTTCTCTCTGCAGTTACCTGTTGTCGAAGCCCATAATTGATATATGTAATCCATTAAAAGATACATGGGTATCATAACATACATAATACGACTATTAGTGTCCCAAAGAAGAAAATCAGAAACAGCGAAGTTACCTCTCCTCGCATGGTCCAATTTTTTGGCTCCAAATTTGCTTTTTCCATCTGATCTATTTCGGAACGAAGTTTCAGAAGCTTCGTTTCATGGGTAGAAAGAGTTGTCTGCTTCTGTATTAAAAAATATATATTGAAATGAGATGAAACTCATTTGAAAATATGGAGAACCTATGAACTGCAAGACCATGCTCACAAATTTTGTTACACTACTTGATTTTCAAGTACCTTCTCATCTTTTTGTTCATCTTCATCATCATCATCATCTTCTTCTTCTTCTTCAACTTCATCTTCATCATCTTCATCTTCATCCTCATCCTCATTGTATATGCCCAAATCTTTTGATCCATCAACCAATTTTGGTTTTCGTTTAGAAGGTTTTTCCTTTTTTCCTCCATAGAAGTCTTCATATCTGTAGCAGAGAAGCATATTTAAATGGATATACATGCATGACCAGAAAAGATATGCACTGGTGAATTACATAAAATAGATATACAACAGAGTAACCATGAATTTGCAGTCAATGATCGATCCATATTCATAGAATCAACTAATTGTGGTACAATAAACATAGAAAGAAAAGAAAAACAAAATTATTGGCTAAATCATAAATGTAGCACCTTGCAAACTTGTCTGCGTCTTCTTCATCCTCATCATCGCCAATGTCTAAATCTCCAAGCTAAATAGTCAAAATGAATCGAGTTAGAAACCAAAAAGCCAAGCTTCAAAATCAGCAAAATTCTTAAGCCAAAAACCAAATAACTATCCAACAAAAAACAAAAAATTCAAGCAGGGCCTCACCTCCTCGTCTTCTTCTTCATCCTCGTCTTCCTCTTCGTCTTCTTCATCCTCATCATCATCGCTACCTTTCTTCTTTTTCTTCTTCTTCTTCTTATCAGTCTTCCTTAACCCATATTCCCTAGCTTCACTATCCTCCAAAGACTTCTTCAAATCCTTTATCTTAAAAAACCCATCCTCTATCCCATTATTACCTTCACCTTCACCTTCACTGTCTTCTCCCTCCTCTTCATCCTCACTCTCATTCTCTTCACCTTCTTCTTCGTCTTCTTCTTCCTCTTGCTCCTTCTCATCGTCTTCATCTAATTCATCTAATTCCTCATCAGAACCATCGATTTCCTTCTCTAAACCCTCATTTTCAGCTTCCAGAACCTTCTCTTGGCCTTGTACAAGCACCTTCAGCGTCTTAATCTCGTCCGGGTTTTTCTCGAACCGTTTCAAATCTCGGCGGAGGCTCGAGATGAGAGGCTGCGATTGGAGGTCGATTTGCTGCCATATCTGCTCGGCGTCGAAGCCGTCTGTTAACAGCTGATCGAATGGCGATTTGGGCGTGAACGGTCTGAGGCAGGAGAAGAGGTTCTGCAAGGCGGTTCGAGCCGTTTGGGAGAGCGCGGGGCTCGGCGTCAGTAACTGCGTTGGGTCTGTGAGTTTCAGGGAGTTCAGGGCTTCGCTACTGATCGCCATGGCTGAGCGAGAATGCGAGCTCGGTTTGTGTCCTGTTTCTGACAGGTTCGCTCCGGTTTGGGGGTTTAGGGTTTTAGATGGGGAGGAGGTACTGTATACGTGGCGATCTGTAATTGGCTATAACTCGATACATTTGGCCCTAAAAGAAAAATAATACATTCAAAGCAAAAAAAAAAATACATAATGGGCTCACAATAGACACGACGCCGTTTGATCTATAGTATTATGGCCCTTGTGAAATTGAAGACTGGTTAGTAATATCCTAGCCCTAGTAGGACTACCAAACGAAATTCCTTTCCAAATGTCTATCTCTTTGGATCCTTTATATCCGTCTTCCCTCTCAACACACACAAGTAAACATTGCCTCTACATGTCTTTGAATCTCCTACTCTCTAATATCGCTCATATAAAAAATATACAGACTTCTAGTATGACAAGCCTGCAATCGAATGAATGGCTCAGAAATCTCTTGGATGATGGTATAGACCATCTTTTGAATGTAGAATGGCTCATAGATTTCATGCCTACTGAACATATTTTTGAAGAAGCAATATCATTATCAGATATGGTCGAATTTTCTCTCGTCCTGCCTTCCTTAGATGATCAACAAGATTTGAACTCGAACTTGAGACCAAAGCCTGCATCCCAAGCATCGGTTGAGGCCTTGGAGAAGTTGGTGTTTGATGTTGGGGTGCATGGATCGAGTGAGAGAGAGAGCTTTTGTGTGGTCTGCTTGGAAAATATGTTGAGTGGGGATCGAGTCACTCGCATGCCATGCTCTCATATATTTCATGGAGACTGCATTGTGGAGTGGTTAAAACAAGGTCATATTTGCCCTTTATGCAGGTTCGAGTTGCCACAAAATTAATTAATGATAGAACACAATTGTTTTGATCCATTGTTCCTAACTGTAAGACTCTTCAGAATCTTTACATTGTAAGACATTTATGATGTTTGTATTATATGCTTCTATGTTTGATTGATTTTTGTCGATAAGAATTGTCTTTTCAATTCGAACTTTGCTCCATTAAAGGCAAAAGGTCCTTATTACATGTAAGTTTTTCATCTTAAAAAGCTTTTCGCAAACACGGTATTAGTTAAAAAAGATTAAACAAATAACTATGCATAATTTTCAAATTGAATTTATGGATTATTTGTGCTTGTTACGTACTTGGACAACACAAACTCAAATTGAATGAAAATTTGGGTTGTATTCGGATTGATGATCTAGATTTTTCTTTCGTTTTCCAAACAAAGAAGTAAAGAAAGATTTATATGACTGTCGAGCGGGGTCAGTAGTTGTGACCCTCCTCCTTCCCCTACTTGGTACCCAATATCAAAACCGAACGAAAATTTGGGTTGTATTCGAATTGATGATCTAGATTATTCTTTCGTTTTCCAAACAAAAAAGAAAAGAAACATTTATATGGCTGTTGAACTAAGACTGGTAGGTGAAATTGAGAAAGGTTGATCTCGACAGGAAAGGGAAAAATCAGGAAGGTTTATAGAAAACAAATAGGCAGGAATTATAATACAATACAAAATATGAGTCAATATAAAAAAAATACCACATGAAAGTCCCCGAGATTATTTCTTCAACAATATCAATAATAATGTTTTTATTTTCTTAATTACCGAAGCTTAATTTTTTTCTTATTAAAAAAGAAAAATAAATTACCTATGCATTAAGAACAAAAATAAAAATTCGACATTGTCGCAAGTTACCAGTTTTACACAGCTCCACCTGAAACTAAAAAAACAACAATTTTTTTTTTCATCATCTTCTTCATCTTCATCTTCAATTCAAAAACTTCGTTTGTCTCTCTCTGCCGACCTCCCGCCTCTTATTCAATCCTCGCTGCTACTAAATCTCAAACGCTGAACTCACTTCACAATCCGGGCTGCCATCAACTGCGGTCATTTCCATCGGAACTCCGTCGTCCAATCGAATCAAAGCCGTCGATTCCTCCCAGGTCTACTTCTGACTCTTCCGACTCTTCTCTCTCAATTTCATCTGTAAAGAACTCGAATTTATGATTCATTGACTCTCCAATGATCAATGGAGAGACGACTGCCGAGGCCGCCTCTCCCGATCCGTCCCTTTCTTTGGATCGGAAATCGGACGGTGACGGTGGCGATGCCTCACCCCGATCGCCTCCGTCGCGGTACTCGTCTTTCGGCGACTCCGAGTACGAGCGCTATTGTAGCGCCAACTCGGTTATGGGCACGCCGAGCATGTGCAGCACAATCACGGTATTCAATGATTTTCCGGAGCCCGACTTCGGGTCGCTAAAAAGTCCGGGTTTTGTGGATGAGAGTGGTGGTTTGGATAATTTTAGTTTGGGAGGGAGGATTGAGAGAAATCGAGAGGATCGGAGAGTTTCAGGTAGTGGTAGGATTGAGTTTTGTAAGGAGGATGATAGTATTGAATGTCGGCGGAATACGAACTATGGGTCTAGTGGGTTGGAATTGTATGGCAATGAGGATGCTCATGGAGTTGATGGTTTAGATGAATTGATGTCTTGGAAGCTTGAGAGTGGATCGTCGGGTTTAAGGGGGGTTTCACAATTGAAGTATGGTTCGGATAATAGTGACGAAGACAGTGAAAAGGGCATGGAAGTGCAGAGAGGAGTTGTGGGAAAAGGGAAAGATAGTGCTGAACTTGAACGTGTGGTGACCCGAGAGACTAATGATTCGAATTGGGTTGGAACTAGTTCCCAATTTGTACCCAAGGTTGAAGAGTTTGATGGGGTAAAAATGGAGTTCCGTACTTCGGAATTTGATGGAAGAGAGATTGATAGGGAAGAAGGAACCTCATCTAGAAATGAGTACTCAGAGGATGAGGGGTCCATGTATGGTTCAGATGATGAGAAGAGTGGCTTTAGTCAACAGAGGAATGTGCACTATAATCAGCAAGCAAAACCAGAGAATGAAAATCCATTTCTTATCAACTCATCTGTAGCCTTTGGTTCGGATGATTGGGATGATTTTGTGCAAGAAAGCGACGGAAGTAATATAGCTTCTTTAGCTAGGAATGTGTTCCAGCACCAGACAGAAAAGAAGGTTGAAACTGAAAGGAAAGTTTCAAATTCCACTTCCCTCGCTTCAGTTGAGCATCAAAGTACATGTCAGACTGAGCAGGGAAAATATGTGACAAACGTGCCCACAGAAAGCCAACTAGTTCAAGCTGATAAGAAATTGGCAGAAAATGTTAATAGTTCCATGGTCCCTGCTAGTTCTCCAAATATTATTGAAACAGAAAGAGTAGAAGATGTGAGGGAAATTCCTGTGGTCAGTTATCAAGTCCAAGCTATTGATGATCCGATTGAATTTACCGAAAGTTCTTTTACAACCCCAACTGGTTTTCAAAATGTTCAAGAACCGGAGCAAGAAGGTTCAAGAGACATTCCTTTGATCAAGAATCAAAATCCAGGTCCTGACGAAGCAGCAAAAGAAAGTCCTGATGAAAATGGTTTAAACATTATGGATGACGGCATTTCTAATGCACTTACACGTGTGAATGCTGGGGATGTCATTGGGATTGATGATGGTCAAGATTTAGAAAACAAAAATTTGGGGAATCTAAAAGTTAAACCGAATCCCCTTTCTGATATATCAACTAATCAGCTTAGCATCTATGCAACCAGACCTCCTGGAAATATGAAGGGGGAATTCCTTGCGGACGATAAGCCAAGCATGCCGACATCAATTTTTGAAAATAAAATGAGGGAAAGTTCTGTTTCAGAAGATCTCTTTGAAAACTATCCTATGCCCATTAAGGTCAGTCATGCTTATTAAGTTTGTAGACTTGGTTATGTCTCATGGAGTTGTCCACAATGTGTTTTGGTAAATTAGCACATTGACAACTGGTTGAATTGCATTTTGTGTGTGTGTGTGTGTGTGGGTGTTGGGGGGTGGGGGTGGGGAGTTGGTTTAGACTGGCAGACTCGTGTTACTTGTAGGATAATATAACTCATAGCTTTGAGAAGGCTCCATTATTGTGGTAGGCATCAAAGTGATGATCTTTCAGATTTTATTATCATTATTTTATATCAAGTATTCCTGTCTATATTGATCTTTGTAAATTCAAGTATTTACTAGGTTTTATGTTGTGTTCTTGTTTAGTTATGTATATGGCTTACCAAGACTTGTCATGGGCATGGTTTGTTTACTAGTTATTGCACCAATTTTGCAAGAGAATATCTGGTTTATGATATTGGTGGTTATGTGCTATGGCAGTCTGATCTGATCTTATCCATATAAGAATATTTGTGTGTGAAGTTGTCTTGAGCTCATTTCCTCTTTTACTAATGCTGCAGACAGATACTTTTGAGCTAAATGAATTGTACGATGAGGTCGTTAATGAGATGGAAGAAATTCTGCTCGACTCTGCTGAGTCCCCAGGGGCAAGGTTCGCTCATGGTAACAGGCTTTTACAGTCACAGCAATCTCTACCGTTAAGAGATGGTGGATCGACTGCTTCTACTTCTGGCACAGATGATGCTTACTTGTTCAATCAGAATTCATTGAGAATTGATGGGGTCGAAGTGGTGGGTGCAAGGCAGAAGAAGGGAGATGTCTCATTCAGTGAAAGACTGGTGGGAGTGAAGGAATATACTGTGTATATAATAAAAGTGTGGAGTGGCAAGGATCAATGGGAGGTTGAACGTCGATATCGTGATTTCTATACACTCTATCGTCGATTGAAAACATTGTTTGCTGACCATGGCTGGAATCTACCTTCTCCCTGGTCTTCTGTAGAAAAGGAATCCAGAAAGATTTTTGGAAATGCATCTCCTGATGTTGTTGCGGAGAGAAGTGTTCTCATTCAAGAGTGTCTGCAATCCATTCTCCATTACAGGTTCTCTTCCAGTCCACCGAGTGCATTAATATGGTTTTTGTCTCCTCAAGATTCATTTCCTAGCTCCATGGCATCAAATATGTCCGACTCTAATACTAAAAGGGCATACACCGAAAACTTTTCCACTTTAGGAAAGACCATATCACTTATTGTTGAAATTCGACAATACAAATCTTTGAAGCAGATGCTAGAAGCACAACATTATACTTGTGCTGGATGTCACAAGCATTTTGATGATGGAAAGACTTTGATACGGGATTTTGCACAGACATTTGGATGGGGCAAGCCTCGACTTTGTGAATATACTGGTCAATTATTTTGCTCGTCGTGCCATACAAATGAAATTGCAATCATACCAGCAAGGGTGTTGCATAACTGGGACTTTACTCAGTATCCAGTTTCGCAGTTGGCTAAATCTTATCTGGATTCTATACATGACCAGGTAATATGAAGACTGTCGCCTTCTTTATGATTAAATTTTGTATCTGTTATGTCAATGAATTGTGACTATATTGTAAGCAACATACTGATAGATTTTGTAAGAACGCTCTTTGTAGCACTTTTGCTTTCGTATTTATGCTTCCACATAATGTGATAATGGGAACAATTGTTTTTTTCCCTTTAAACTTGCCACGGTACAAGGAAAAAAGAATGAATTATAAGGGGTTTCTAGTACCAGGTACCCTATGCAATGGTTGTTTGATACATGGACCAAATATCTGTTGTAATTGATGACAAGTCCATATATAATGCCATTTCCTGGTCATATCTGTTGGGATTCCATTTGATTCCAGGGGATTATGGAAATGGTTATGTTAAGGGAGACTACAAATACAATGTTAATCTTTGCACCAATCCTGTATCATAATGTAACTTATTGTACTCAACCAATTTATACATCTATTTGTGCATTGAGATTGACACCCGCAAATTTCCTCCTTTCCAGCATCATTTTGAACATTTTAAATCCAAGTTATTTTTTCATGTATTTAACATTTCAAGTGATCTTCTGAGCCAATACCTCATGTCCATGATCAACTTCGTTTTGCAGCCCATGCTTTGTGTCAGTGCTGTTAATCCATTCCTTTTCTCAAAGGTCCCAGCCTTGCTTCATGTTATGGGTGTCAGGAAGAAAATTGGCACCATGCTTCCTTATGTTCGTTGTCCATTCCGTAGGTCAATCAACAAAGGACTTGGGTCTCGGAGATATCTTCTAGAAAGCAATGATTTTTTTGCACTGAGAGACCTCATTGATCTTTCAAAAGGAGCCTTTGCAGGTTAGCTTCTAATCACAAGCTTTATCTTCATGCATGTATGCCATACTGGACCTTTTGTTATTATGAAAATAAAATAGATTACTTGATATGTGTGTGTGTGTGTGTGTATCTTTTCTGAAGGCTGACGTACCATTTTTGTGGCAGCGCTCCCTGTGATAGTTGAAACTGTCTCAGGGAAAATTCTGGGCCATATAACTGAGCAGTGTCTCATATGCTGTGATGTGGGAGTCCCCTGTGGTGCACGACAAGCATGCAATGACCCTTCATCTCTCATTTTCCCTTTTCAGGTGAGCATCTGTAATTCTATTGTACAATTGTGATTCCTGTTCACATGGCTAATAAGATTTTTTTCTTCTCGCTTTTATTATTGATCTTATGTGTTCCCAAAATATTTATTGCATCAATTGGAGAACCAGATTTTGGCCATCAAATTTGCCAACACCACACTACTCGGCTTTATATCTTTCCATTTTTACCATCAATTGAATCAAGCACTTAGTTTCCGTAACCCTACCCTAACATGATTTCCTATGAGCTTACAGGTTTCCTTTTGAAATGAATAGCATATGTCTCACAATGTTTTATATTTTTGTAACCAGAGGAAATATCTCCTCATTCTGCAAATCATGTGAGCGTTTTGTATCCTTTACTAGGAAACCTTGAATTCCTTATTTTGCATTGATAAATTAATAAGTATAGTTGCTGCAATCTGACTGTAAAAGTTATTGGCAGGAGGATGAGATTGAAAGGTGTCCATCTTGTGAATCAGTATTCCACAAGCATTGCTTCAGAAAGCTCATGGACTGCATGTGCGGGGCACACCTTAGGTTGGACGAGCCGGCACAACTCATTAAGAGGGCAACCTCTGGGGTTGGTGCTGAGATCAGTGGGCTTCTAGACTTGTTTGGAGGAGGGTCGAGTTCTGGATTACTCTCTGGCTTATTTTCAAAGGTGAAGCCAGAGAAGCCAAGGGAGCATAAAGACGGTGACAATGTGATTTTAATGGGTTCTTTGCCCAGCACTTCCTTATAATTCTTCTGTATCTGCATTGTATCATATGTGCATTTTGGCTTGATTTGGAATGTAGAAACTTCATTCATTGCACCTTTTGATGTTAAATAATCAAAACTGGACATCCCAACTCTGTTGTATCTAAATTCTTAAGGTTGGGCAAGAATATATTCTTTTTGGCTGGCCCCTTTTTGTAATGTAGATGCTAGTCAATATAAGTGCTGTCTCTTTCATTTACTTGCTATCTGACTTCTAGATTATGAATGTACATCTCAACTTTTTGATTTTTTGTGACTTAAAAGTTTGAAATCCCTTGGAATGAGAATGCCAATAAAAGATTGTTGGTGGTATCAACTTAGTGGGAAATTAATAAAAAGTAGATATAAAGAGTCTATATTGAATAATAGAATAATTTTAGATTAGGAATGAGAATATCTATAATGAACTTTTTTCTGATGTCTGTATATGCAGTTGCAAGTTGCAACTTTAAAAGTATGCCACTGGTTAGGGAAACGCTTGAGCATCCAAAATTTAATTTCCAAACTACATTTTCCTTTAAATCTGTTGGAGGCATGGATCCCCATAATTCTAAAATGTGATCTCTGTCCTTCTGCATGCTCTCCTTCTACAAAGAATTATAGCAGTAACTTTTTTTCTTTCTTTCTGGATCCTGTACTCTATACGGTGTTCGGCTTCAGCTACGTAGTCTCGCATCGCTGCCCAAGTAATCTCCCACATTGATAAGATTCAGGGAACCGTGTTGAATACAGTTGATGTTTCATCTTCATTATCAGAGCAAAAATGCTGTAGCATGGGATATGCAGCAGACCCACCGACAAGTACCTTCAAATAGGGTTTGCAGTAAGAAGCAGCATATGTTAAGCAACCAACTGTCTAATTAAATACATAAACTACCATATTTAGTTACAAGGTATTGGAAATTAGAAAATAATCAAGAGCTTAGGATACATACCATAGTGGAGCATATGGAGATGACAAGTCAAGAAATGGATAGGGCCACCTGTTTTCGAAACACAGAAATCATCACTACAAGTATATAGCCATTATGGTTTTTGTAATATGGGAAATCAAAGAAATGATGATTTTACCAAAGTTTGAAACAAGCATGAACGAGCCACTGGAAAACTACGTAGGTGACTGTCCACAGGAAGAAATATCCAATTCGGAACCAGGGAAACGGCTGAAAATCGAAAAATTTATCAATGTTAATCGTATATGTATTCATGAGAAGAATTGGAAACCCAAAAGTGATTTGAATTTTGAACTTGCAAACTGCAACTTACCAAGCTGTTCGAAGCGGTTTCGCCAAGCAAGAAAACAGCATTGATTGTGTGCATGTTTATAATCAGCTGTCATGAAAAGGATGAAACCTGTTATTTTCTATCATAATCATAGATTACATAAACTAATCCTGAGGTTATGGAATGATACGAAATCCAAAATAGACAGAGAAGATGAACAAAGTATTATGTGGCTAGACATGTTCTTAAAAGTCACTCAAGGTCAAGGCTGTATATGATACTCACAAAATTCAAGTTGTAATCTTTGATGGTAAGAAATGGAACGATTATGAACCAAAAGACGCAGTCTGTGAGGACGACAGCACCCGCATTCATCTGTTTACAAGCAAAAGCATGTTCAATAAGCTAATTAAGCATTAATATGACCAACTTATAAGTTGAAGTTGAAGTTATAAAACATTATACCTGGAAAATTATTTGGAAGACATAACCCCAAAAGCCAGCAGGTTGGCGAGCTTGAGGTTGTTCTACATGGGAGCCTGAGGCTTTGTCTGTGGCAGAGGTACTGGAAGTAACTCCAAGCGGAGGAGACACAAAAGTGCCTTGCTCTGTATCCACCTCAAAACTCTCAACCTTATCGCCGGCAGTTTTCTTATGGTATTGGTAACATCCCCGCATGGAGAGCAATGATCCAAGCTAGACATGGAGCAATTGACAAAGAAATAAACAAGAAGGAAAAAGAAAATCCAAGCAGAGAAAGAAGAAGAATGATGTAGTCAATAGAGAAGGTTAAGCTCTTTGAAGCTGTAACAACTTACCCCAAAATAAATAGTAATCAATGTAAATGTCCACCTGTCCAAAACCAAAAACATCACCAATTAGAAGCTAAGTACAAGATTTGGTGATGTATATTCATATAAATTGTAATTAAAAACAAGTTTCACCATTATCAAGCATTGTAATTAACTTCATTTGCATTACCATGCAAAATCAGAGATTGGTTTCAAGAAATGACAGCTTACTGTGTGTAGAAGAGAAAAATGCCACCTCCATCCACAAAAGCTGTGATGATGAGCAGAACCAAAAGCACAAAGAAAGCAAAAATTCTAAAAGCCAGAAGCCAGGCTGGGTGAATGCCTTTGAGGCATGGTCTCCAAGTTTCATCCTCATACAAAGTTCCTGCAGATATTTCTTGCTGGGTTTCTCTGCTACCGCGCTTTGAACTGCCTGGCCCTTCAAATTTGCATACGAGAATAACTGAAAGAGTCATTGAAATCAGAACCCATATGGTACAAAGCAAGACCCTCCAGTTGAACCAGTAACTCGAGGTTGTTGTATCTGCAGTCATGATTGGCTGCCAAGAACCCTTTGGAACTCCTGTTAAAAAATTCATGATGTTACTTTTACTCCCCTGTTTGTTTTCACTCACAATGAATTGGGATGCCTGGAAATTTGTTCTCAAATCTTCAAACAATAAAAAAACAAATGGGAAATTTGAGGGAAAAAGGCAACTAGAATCCCAATGAAATAATTTTTAGTGTGGTAAGTGATTAATGCTAAGAACCCAAAAGGCAGAATATGTTTTCAAAATCAGAGCTTGAAAAAAAAACTCGACTTTGACGCGCTTATTACAGAAAAAAAAAATCTCAGAATAAAGTAGAGGAATAAATATGATGAAAAAGTAAAGCTGAAATGCTCAAAGCAACAACCAAATGACAAACAAATTTATGAAAACCCAGATCCAGAAAGGCATAACAGAGAACCAAGATAAGATAGTACTGATGCAAAGAAACCACATTTAAGGGAAATGGGAAGTTCTAGACTTATAGTTATGCAGAAGAACTGGTTTTGGGTTCAAATGGAAACTAAAAAAAAACAAAACAAAACCCATGTCCTATATGAACACATTAATGCTTGAGACTAAGCAGAGATTCCAAACTTTAGGTGGTTTTTGCACAGAAAGCTACAAAACCGACATTTCTATTACAATTATTATTATAAAACAAAACGAGATAAAAGAAGTAGCTGAATTCTAAGCAAAGGAAAGGTTGATACTTACAAGGGAAAGCAAAGAAAACGTGGTGGTGTGTTAGAGGAAGAGATGCGTTGCTTCTTTGCTATGCAGAGAAAACTAGATGACAGAGACTCTCAGAGACAGGGAGACAGAGAAAGAGAGAGAGACGGAGAGAGAGAGAGGAGAAAAGGACGGTATGCTTTGAGCATAAGGCATAAGCTTCACTTTCCCTTTCTTATATATTATTAATATCCCAACAAAATCTTGTAAACAGAGACCAAAGTCCTTTGTAGTTCCATGCAAATATAAAATTACAGGGAAATGTGTGCTTTCACCACCTTTCTTGTACAACCAGACTTTTATTATGTCTTTTTTAAGTTACCAATATTAAAAACAGACCAACCACAGAACAATTGTCTTTGCATTTTTATTATTATATTGGAATTAATGCTTGAAGATGCCTTTTGAGTCATTTAACCTCCCCAAAAAAGGCAAAAAAGCAACTGGGGTGTGGGTGGAAGGAAATCAATTAAGTTACCAATGACCTGCAACAAGACCTAAGTTTGACCAATGATTTTGGACCCAGGAAGTCATGATGATTTCAATCAAAACAGATATCATGAAACTATTGGGAGTTGGGAGAAGTGGGACCCATTTATTCAGGGAGCTAACTTTGCATGGCTGATTGGAAACATCATGGGGTCTCTAAATATGCAAAGGGCAATGATCATGTTAGCTTTCAGTTAAGGCATGAGATTGTTGCTGCTCATAGAACTTGCCTGTTAGACCAGGAATTCACTATGATTTTATTAGTTATTTTTCATGTCCTTCTGGCCTGGGAAATTAATGAAATTTAATTAATAAATAAATAATGGAAAAGAAAAAAAAAACATTTTGTAAGCCACTGGCTGATGGGTTCCTCTGTTTTACAAAAGTAGAACCAAAATTCACCGCCCCTAGTGGCTTTATAGCTTTCATCATCAATAAAGAGAAAAAGAAAAAGACACCCAAGAAAGAAAAGAGTGAGAAAATTAAATAAATAAAAAAATATAAAAAGGGGGAAAAAAATTAACAGTGCAGATTAAAAATAATATTCCATTCAAAACGAGCAAAAGCTGCGGGCCATTTATTTTTACTGTTTTGCTTTTGAAGATAACGTGTTGCACAATCAGATATAGAAGATGACATGTTCATACAAGAGGTGTCAAAATAGCTTGTTTTGTCAAAGGCGGTGACAAGTGTGGTCGCCAAGCAAGCACAAATCTAGGGAGACGCTACAAATTACTTGGAGAATGGGCAACAAAATTAGTGACACTCATCTTTCTATATATAATGAAAAGATTAGTGACTTTTATGAGCCCACAAAAGGGGTTAGATTAGAGGATAGGATGTGGATATGTTGGTGTATTGTTGAACCTTTTCAAGAAGACATCTAATATTAGTTTTAGTAATTAGTGTTATAATTAAGTGCTTAAAAAAAATTAAAAAAATTGTAGACCCGACACCTCACGACCACCACGGGGGGAATTGGCTATGAGAAATTGTGAACAACACTAATTAGTTTTTGAAAGATCACTAATTGGGTTTTGGAGCTAGAAATTGAAGAACAAAATTTATAATTAGGCAAAGGGAAGTTTAATTAGGGGCAAACAAAACCATTCTCCATACGTCATGGATAGTTTAATATAGAAGGAAGATTCCTCCTCCCCCTTGAGTTAGTTGCAGTACCAAAAGCATGAATATATTAGCAAAAAATTAGGAATGGAGGTTAGTTGGTAGACAATAGGCTTTTTGCAATTCATAGCACATATATAATATACTCTTATAATAAACTTAAAAAATATATAATAAAAATCTATAAAAAAATTCTTCAACCAACTTGGTTTTTTTTTTCTTTTCCTTATAGTGAATATTAATTCCAACCACAGAATAAAAATTATGGTAAATAACATAAATTAGAGACGCCAGTGGGGTATAGCTTAGTTGGTTCAAAACCCCCAAGCACCCATGAACGTTTGTGTATAAACAAAACAAAACACAAATTAAAGACATAATTCCTACATATAAATGTATGTATATATATGTATTTGTGTATTTTGAGAGAGAGAGAGAGAGAGAGAGAGAGAGAGAGAGAGAGAGAAACACACCTATAATGAAAGTTTTCATATCGAGTGGGCAGAGACAATGAAGGAGAGCCCAAAATTGAGTTTGCAGCAGCTGATGAGTTATTTGCTTAAAATGAATGACTAAAATGACAGAGAGCCTCCCATTTCTTGAAGGCTCATATATGAAGTGGAGAGAAATAATTATATATATACGGAAGCTAGAGAGAGAGAGAGAGGTATATGTATATGTTTCCCTAGTCTACCAAAATGGTTAGGCTTGGGCTGTTAGCGACATGCAATATATATGATCATGAAATAAGTGTGGAAGTTAATAACAACTGCGTCCGCACGATAATAACGTCCGGATGTCCGCATAAGAGAATTTCTGTATATATATATATAAGTTTTCTTTTATAAAAACTAAATTGGGACTTCCAGGCACTTGACTAGGTGTCACTTCTGGGTTAACTACACGTACCCGAGGGGCCGAGACCAATACGAAATATGACATTTTAATGACTCTCTGAATTGATATTGCACAAAGAAAAATAAAAAAAAAATCAGATTTTCTTTTCGTTGTTATCTTTTCCGATTCGTCATTCTACATTTCATCGAACATATACTCGGTACCTTTGAAAGATAACAGAATATATACGGCCAAAAGTAGGGCATATCAGTCAAGATTCTATCTAATCATTTAAATGCAGTGTTGGAAGCAATTTGAAAAACTTTCAATTGAAATATAACATTTTTCATTATTAGTTAATCTCTCATTGTTCAGTCAATCGTTAAGCATCGTTCCTTTGGATATATATGACATCTAATCTGCAATTGAAAAGACTATCATAATTGCATAAAGCCACATCAAGACACTTTGCATGGCTGATTGGAAACATTATGGGGTCTCTCTATTATGTAAAGAGCAATGATCATCTTAGCTTTTAGTTAAAGCATGAGATTGTTGCTGCTCATAGATAAAGACCAACCTTGAATTGTCACATTTTTCATTCACCATCATCTTATTAGTTTGTGGCTCGTTTGATAACCATTTCATTTTTAATTTTCATTTTCATTCTCATTTTTTGTGCTAGGATATAGAGGAAAATGAGAGGGAGAATGGCAATGAGGATACAAATCAAACACACAAATTGACGGATTAGAGTTAACTAGCCTTAACATGTACACAGGGGGGGCCGATACCAATACGAAATACGAATAATCTGTCATCGTACATTTCATTGAACATACTCGGTAAATTCGAATATTTATTGAGAGGTTGTTAACTTATCATAGAGTTCACATCAGGCAACCGTGCAATGGAAGCATTAAGAATGACCGTCATACAGGACTTGAATAGCTAGAGAGTCAGCAAGCTTGGATTTCAAAACACTTGATCCATGCAACCTCTTGGCTATTGAGAATTTTGCACCACCATATTCTCTTACAAAACTGTCACAAAAACCTATACTTTCATCTTTACAAATTAATCATTCTCGTAAACTTGCCACATAAAAATGTACTCATTTGTATACCTATATTCTCCCAAGAACAGAAATGAAAACTGCTGAATATAACATACAATAATTATGAAATTCCAATGCCTCTCGAAATCGACTTCACAACTCACTTGTCAAACTTCAAAAGGTGTCAATGTCATCTCCCAATACTGAGAGGGAAAATGGGGCAATAGCCACGTTAAATGATTGTGAACTTACCCTATTGATGTGTTTCATCTCAAAATCACCTTCCTGCATTGTACGCAAACAATAAGTATATCAATTTTTTAAGGTTGCAGTTGGATTTACCGATTTAAAATGAAGGATATTGATGTGCGGCTATGAAATTCAAGTTTGTTTACATCAAAAGTTCAAAGCATAAAAATGGAGAAGAAAACTCTACTTCTAAATTATTCATAGAGTAGATTTGAAATAACACCTTTTGCATGAGTATTTGAAAATATTCATATTCAAACAATCAAATTTACATTATTTACTGCTGAATCGTAAGCATACAAATTAACACTTCTAGAGTCTCGTTAAACAATTCATACTAAGAAATCAAATCCAAATATCTTTTTCTAAATCCACAAATCCGAGCACAACACAAGAGTATTTTAGTTCAAAGAATGATAAATTCAAATTATTTGGAAACTATCAATGATGATCAAATGAAATTTGAAACGTTATTTTAAAACAATGGAAAGACGAGAACATAGGTTTTAACCCAAGGATATTTTCCTCCTAGCTACATTCATTGCTCATTAGATCTTAA